TCGGTTTTGGAAAGGTTTAGTTTGAGGAAGTGGAGAGACATCCAGTCTGATATGTCGGTCAGTAGGCAGGTGATTCGGGCGGAGACTGAAAGGGTGAGGCGAGGGGTAGAGAGGTAGATTTGCGTGTCATCGGCATAGAGGTGGTAGTAGAAGCCGTGGTTAAACATAAATGAGTATTTAGCACTTGCAGTGAGGAGGTAGCACTGCAGCACGGAAGGACTCCCCCCCCCCCCCCCCCAGAGATAGATTTTAATGGATGATATTGCCCCTGTGTAGCTTCATGCATCTCATAAAATTCCTAGGCTTATGGAGGCCATTTCAGCTCTCATTGATGATGTGCACACCACTTTGGAATTGAAAGAATGGCCAGCATTTACTTCCAGTGCTGCTACTGTCCAGAGTTAGTAGATTTAATTAATTTCATTTTCCATATGAATCTCCTGTTAGTGAACACGCAGAGAACTTTTTGGCTAACACACTCAGCTGCAGAACGGGCATGCTAAAACCATTTACTGCAATCACAAGCTTGAAGGGGTGCCCAACATCTGTTAGTCTTTGCAGACACCTGCACAGACAGCATCTCTGTTGCCTGGGTACAGGAAATAGTTTCCACTGCCTATTTGTCAAGGTCCTACCTTTTCCCAGAGGTTATGTTACTCCATGTGCTGGCATCCATCTTGGATTTCTGCTGAGCATGGTGGGAAGCTTTTATGCCTTCAGGTCTCTGAGGTCCATCCCCCAGAGGGGTGTGGCTGAGTACATATAAGCCTGTGATCCGCACATGCTCTTTGCACTTGTGTCTTGTGTCTTTGTCTTGCTACAGCTCTGTGTATACGCTCGTGACTCTTCTGGTATTCTGACTCGGCTTGTGACTAAGACCATTCTCTGTGGTTTCCTTCGATCTGACCTTCCGTTGCTGAACCCGGCCCGTGACCTGTGATTCTCTGTCTACTGTTCTGTACTGTTTTGTCCCGTTGTTGTCGACTCGGCTTGCCTGACTACGCTATTGTCATTCTCACCAGCTACACGCCATTGGCGGCGGCCATTACCGCAGCCGGGGTGTCCCGGGGGCCGCGACCTGGTTCCTGGCTGTGTCCATCCCCACCATCAGGGGCCCTGGTGAAGGGCAGCCTGGGACTTAGACTCCGTGCCCTGAGGGACTTCGGTCTGTTGGTGGTGGTTGTCGGCAGCCAGTGCGTTACCCTGCCACTAGGCCTACCTGTCCGTTCCACAGCCCTGCCCTGACACTATTAGCTACAGTTCTACTCCTTGGCCCCATGTCGTCCAACCTGCCTGTGTCATGGCACAGATTAACAGATCTCTATGCAGCCCTTGCAGATCTTCTAAATCAAGGGGTCATCACTCCAGTTTCTACTATGGAAATGTTTCAGGGTTTTGCTCCAAGCATTTCACAGCCCGTAAACCGAAAAGGAGGCATCTTCCCCCTTTTAGATCTCAAGGCCCTAAATGTCTCCATTCAGGCCCAGAAAAATTCCAAATGGAATCCTCCAGATCTGTCAGTCTCCCTTCATCAGGAAGACTTTTTGGCCTTTGTGGATATTAAAGACATATATGTGCATGCCCCCATTAGTCCAGCACATTAGTTATTCCTTTACTTTGCTATGAGTCTACAGCATATCTAGTTTATTGCCTTATCCTCTGCACTTTGAGTGCTCACCAAGATGCTGGCTCCTGTTCTAGTCTTACTATGTTATCAGGGTAACAGGTGGAATATCTGGAGACCGCCTATTAGCACCTTTGCAGATGCTAATATTAGCTGATAAGCTCTTCAAGTGGCTGTTTAATGCATTTGCTTTCCCCTTGTTAGGGTTTTTTTCTTGTTGGGTGGTTCACCTATGTTGTATTGGTGTGTCTGTCCCTCTGTTTGGAATACTGTTGGACATCTCCTGGTTGCTTGTTCTTCAAAAAGTTGTGCCCCTCAGTGGATGATTTAGAAAATAGGATTTTTTTTTTACTCACTGTAAAATTATTTTCCCAGAGTCCACTGAGGGACACAGCTAACTAAGCAGCCTCTCAGGACTGTACACATGGCAAAAATTAAGTGGTATGTCACTGTGAATGGGGCTGCACAGCAACTGCCCTGGAAACACATGCTATGCACACGGTTACAGCACAGTGGGTCAACATTTTCAGGGTTACAATAGACATTGAGAAGGTAACATAACACTCCCTCACTGCCTCTCAAACGCAAGCTATGATGGCTGCACATCTGCACGAGCCTTTTAGAATCTTTTCAGCGCCCTTCTTCCCACAGAGCCCCTACATCCCTTTAGTTCTATGCATCCCACAAAGCCCACCTCCCTCTGCCTCCTTCATCCTACTGACATAGATGCCAATCAGTCCAATCAGTCCAGACTTACACCACCAATACAGTGGCATTTTTTTTTACTTTCAGTGTCACCACCGACATAGGGACATTTTCTTCCTTTTGGTGACACCACAGACACAGGGACATTTTTTGCCACTGTTAACATATTTGTGCACTGATTTTTAATACTTCATTTCACTGTGGCGTACCACAGCTATTGGTAATATTTCAGTGCGTGTCTTATACGCTACAAACATTACACCACAATCAGCCCCCTCTTCTCTTTCACCCAGTAGGGAAGGGGGAAAGAGGGCACAGTTTGCATCCTCACCCTGGGCACTGAGTAACCTTGTCCCAGCACTGCCTTTTTTGACAGTAGTTTGCCTATCAATACTAAAAATGGCTAGAATCTAATAACAGAATTCAATCCTGTAGATTTTAATGGAAAGTTCGGGTTCACTGAATTTTAATCAGAATTGACCATGCCCTTGTTGAATCAAACCCCAGCAGATTCGCCCCCCCAAATAATATATGCAAAAGTAACTTTGCAAACATTTTTTGGTACCTTTTTATTAGGAATCGTAAATTCACAAGCATAAAATATAATAACTTATATATACAAAATTAAAACATAAACAATTCTATGCTGCAGTACTTGTGCAATGCCATTTGGGTTCATTATATTATGGATGCATACATGGGATCAGGATTTGTAGTGAATGAATGCTGCTTTTCCATAGCCTGGTCATTGTTCACTACATTTTAATCTACATCCTTTCTAAAAGATGTGATAATAGTCTGTCACGTTCATCTGTCCATATCAATAACTAGTCTGAGCCGTCATACTCTGTCACTCCTATACAGTAATACTGTACATAGAAACTACTCACCAATCATTTTTCACTGATCTGATGCTGATTGGTTGCTGTGCATTACTGCACCTTGCACACTATTATTGCTCTTTGCATTGTATTATTGCATATGCTTTCATAAATGGCTATCTTGCAGAGTTCATTTATGAAATTTGTGCAGATATCAAAGTGTTGCTTTTCCACACATTCATGTATATTGAGAAGGATTTGATATTTGATTATACAAAAACACACACACTTACTTTAGAATCTCATTTATTCGAAGCAGCAGGAAAGTCTCTATCCTTTTGCTACATTCCCCATGTCTCCAAGATACTGTATGTAAGAAGCATGGGTTTCATTCTTTCACCTAACTCCCCAAGATTCAACTTACCAGCCAATGGAGCTTGTCAATGCTCTGCACTTTGGGTGAACAAACAAGTCAGCTGCACTCCAATGGCATCAACCTTTATAAAGCTTAATTATTCCGGGACTAGATCACAAAAGATTCATCCCAAACCAAGTCTTCCTCTAACATGTTTAACCTAAAAAAGGCCTAATAATAGAGTTTAATGATTTATGAGTAAGCCCTTTTTTGGCGAAACACAGCACAGTGAAGCTTGGTCTCAGCAGACTCTTCTGTTATCCAGTCCTTTGTGAAGGCTGATGTTATTGGGGTGCTACTGACATGCTTGTTCAACTTTAAAATATTGGGTTTGGTGGCCTTGCCTTTCTAAAGTAGCTTATAACCAAAAATGTGCTGTCGTATAGCTGTAGCTGAATTTCTTTATCATTCTTTACAAACACTTCATTCATATTTTCCTAACGGCACTTGCCCTTCATTCCAACATGTTGTACAGAACCTGCAGCCGCTACTGTTAGTGCCAGTTCACACCACAATTTCTGCACACTGGATATGTCACTGCATGTGAATTTTTAATGAGTTCTGATGCATTTTTCATAAGTCCCAATGCTTTAATTCAAGACGTGAGTTCCAAGGCATTTTTAATGCATTCCAGTGCATTTTTTTCATGCATTTTGCCATGTTCCAGATGAGCACCATGCAGGAAAAATGCAGTATGGTCTACTTTTGTTGACTGCACTTCTTCTCTTTATTATCAGTCGATTCACAAAGATGCAGCGGTGCAACGGAAGGCATTTGAGGCCAAAAGGGCTGGTGAATCTACTGTTTTGCCCTGCATGGACTGCACTGTAAGACATATATGCACCGTGGTAATGTTATGTTCCATATTGTGATTTAGAGGGCTCAGGAAGGATTAAAAGTTATAAATAAATAGCTTTTGGAATGTACCGAGCACCCTCTTCAGATGTCCTTATGATGATCCTGAATTAGGTTGTACCACAACATAATTTTCATTAGATATTTATAGTTAATATAACAAAAAGTAATTTTCACACCTTTTTCATTACTGAAATATGCATTGCTGATATTTTCTATCGCAGAAGAATACATTAGCTTGTACCAAACTATCTGTATTCCATAGATAACCAGTAAACGTTGAGAATTCAGAGAGGAAGTAGCCCATCTGGTCACAGGTTCATGTTCAAAATATATGCACTGAACAGTGGTATGTAAAAGTACATAAAGAGCCATTATCCTCATGTGTGGTTCACAAATAGAAAAGTCTATTTCTTTTCTATAAAATACTTCTGAAAGTCTTACAATCCTTCTTGACGCTACATATCATAGTTTCCTTGCACTGTTTTGATCCGCAGTGTCCAGCCAAAAGTGTGCATTGTGGCTTATCCAAAAGGAAAGGTACATTGTTCAGGTATCAAGATATATGTCTCACTACAATTCATACATTTTCTGTGTTTGGCACTGTAGGTGTTGTGACTGTTGGTGTAGATTGTGCCCACTCCACAATATCTGCACAAAGGGACTCCACAGCATCTAGTCTTTCAATCTGTACTAATTTAGTTAACAGGTCTGGGATGCTGTACCCTGCAGTACTAATCCGATCAAAAAGCTGAAGTCCATCTGTCATTCCTCCAATTTCATCCCTTTTTAGGCCAAAACTTTCGGCAAGGTGACGCCATGTTTTCACTATTGCTTTTTCTGTATTGTAAGTTGAGCTAAGCATCCTGCTGGTCTTTTCTAGGCAATCAAAAGGCAGTTCTGTTGGGCTTAAACCTGAAGAAAAGAAAAAGAAAAAAATAGTAAGTAATATAATCATTACAAGGTTTACGCAGACAGCATTGCAAAGTTAATTCATTCTTTTACAGAACTCTGCTCTACTAAAACCTTTGGTAATTTTATATAACCCTAAGGTACCGTAATTAAAAAAAAAAAAACTATATATCTTTTTGTGAGAAAATTTTCCTCAAAGCTTTAAAAGTATACACTAGTATGTAAAAAAAGTCATCTTGTATGTGGCAACTCCTATACCCCAACATGTAATAAGCGATGGGGCAGGACAGAGACAGGATGGTGTTTCACATTATTAAAAAAAAAAAATTCTAATCCCAAAAATTGTAATCTGGATTTAGCTTGAATTAGAAGCTACATACACATGTGGCACAAGGAATAAGATATCTATACTCACAAATACAATTAAACTTTCTAGTTAAATCTATAAGCAAAATTGATGCATATTAAATCAACATGTACCTTTTGACCATATACTAGAAGACACTTTGATTACGTGGCTTGAATGATGGACAGCTAATTCCCTTTCTTTGATTGTGCCCACACAATAGGTTTAAGAAACATTATTGGAAAACAATGTCACATAGCTTTGCCGCTAAATAACTGCTCATAATGTTTGAAATCTTACATTGTTTTTGTCCATACAAAAGACACATTTATGACAGGTAAGTAAAAAAAGCCCAAAATATGGGCTAAAATTGCAGGATTCTCAAGCTCAACTGAAATCTTACACTTTTTCTCCTTTTAGCCTTGCACTCTCATATTGTATCTTTTGTAAGAGATTTGGAGACTCCCTTTTTATATTAGAGGGAATGTACAATCCCTCTCCAGTGTTCTTTGCTAGCAAAGATGAGTAATAGCCACACCCAGGGGCGGACTGACAACTCATGGGGCCCCGGGCAATAGGGGATCATGGGGGCCCGTGTCCTTGCCCAAACTCAAAAAAGCCTATGAAAAAGGTACCAGGGGCATCTCATGGGGCCCCCTACTGAGCCCAGGCCCTCGGGCAGTGCCGAGTTTCCAAATGGTCAGTCCACCCCTGGCCACACCCCCCTTATCAGAAAAGTCCACATTCAGATGATTAGTGCTAAGGAAGTGAGGAGTTGTGTCTGACCAGTACAGGATGCACTGGTTGGAATGGACAAACGGTGCTTATTGGACAGTGCAATCATACTTAGACATGCCGTACATCTGCTGAAACAGGACAAAGGATGACTATGAAAATGGAGGGTAATGCATTGTTTAGTTGGCTGAATTTCTATTTTTGTGACTTCAGCTGACCTTTAAATTATTAAATAATATGAGTCAAATTAAATGTCCTCACAAAAACAGCGCTTCACCCATTAAAGCTCTAACAATATACAAACAAACTAATAGGAATATCTATAAAGCATAGCAGTATATACATCTGAAATTGGGATCATCATTAGTTAAAATAATAGCCTCCACCAGGTGTAGTTGAGTGCATATAGAAAAGTCCACCACATAAATCCTTTTCAAAAAAGTCTCTATGACAGAACTTTGATTCAAGTTGTTCCACTCCAACACCACCGTGTTTCCTGTGAGACACTCTCCCAACCAAACAACGCAATCTGGCAAAACACTAATCCTCCTCTTGATCCCTCAATCTCCTTGACCGTGAATATGATCCAATCACTCCAACTCATAAATAGAAAGCACAAACGAAGCACAAAACGTAATCCTGTCTGAATGCTTTATTAAATTACCAACTCCCATGAATAACACTCACAATATGATAAAACTTGTAAGCACATCAAATTACAAATATGACAGCCTTCACCACATGGAATGGCGACTGGCATTTCACCGCACATGCATGCACAGCCCACTGCGTCACTTCTGGGCGGAGAGTCGTCGTCAGATCTGGTGAAGGTATGGTCACGCTCCTGACATGGTTCGTCATCATGACTAAGTGAAAGGTGGAACTTTATAGTCCGCACTTCTCAATTTTAACCACTTGCATCCTATTAATTCGACTTTCCTTGCTAATTCAAGAGATCAACCTGACCTCTATTGGCTCATTTAGGTATAACAACGTACAGCATATAAATATAAAATACATTGGATTCGCCGCAAAAATGCTATGACACATAGCATAACCTTCCATACATCAACCACCATTATTGACAGTTTTCCAATTTAGGTAACTAGACATGTATCAAATTAAATCCAACTAAAACCTTTTTGGAACTTAATTAAAAATTCATAATATATTGATCCGTTCCCAATAAATGTTATAATATAACATACATGATAATCACACATTAATTAATAATCACTTAGAAAGCAATTTATGTCAATCTCAACATTCAAACCTTTAGGTGCTAAAGAGTTGGACATAAAAATCCATTTGGTTGATAAGTCTCTTACCCAGTTTGACCCTCTCCATGACGAGGGAATTTTATCTAAAATTTCAAACCAGAGGGATTTCCTGAAATGCATAGACACACTGTGATATGTATACCCTATCGAAATATTATGAAGATGTTCACTTTTTTTTCAAGATGTCTCTTAGTGCAGCCAATGTAAATAAGCCCAGAAGGGCATTCTAGAGCATAGACCACATGAGTAGTCTCACACATAATAAATTCAGATATTTCAAATTCCTTTCCATTGGCTGAAGATTCAAACTTAGTTATACCTTTTAATCTGTTTTTTACTTGATTACAAGCTGTACATCTGCGACAAGCAAAAAAACATTTTTCTCCCAAAACATCCCTGGTTTGGCTAGTTGATCTAGAACCTTCTTCACCACCCTAGCTCCAAAACTAGAGGCTTTCCTATAAATGAAGAGAGAGATCTAGTTGGTAATAATGGTCCCAACACTCTATCCATCTGTAGGATATGCCAAGATTTACTGACAATTGTTTCTACTTCCTTATACTGTGAATGCAAATTCAAAATTAATCCCCATTGTTGATTACCTTTAGATCTATCAACCTTCTTATCTAATAGACACTGTTCTCTTGGTATATTTAACACCTCTTCTATAATTGCCTGTACATTTTCTTTCTTATAATCTTTTTCTATAAACCTATCCTTTATCACCCATGATAGGGCCAGAATTCAACCATATGGGATGATGTCCACTGAACCAAGGAAGGTAACTATTACGATCCGTGGATTTGAAATACACCTTTGTTAACAATATATTATCCTGTCTAAAAATATTTACATCCAAAAAATTTAATTTTTCTTTACTGTATTGATATTCGAGCCTGTTATTAATATTATTGTTCAATATACATAGAAATATAAGTAGCTCTCCTTCTGATCCTGCCCAGATGAAGAAACAGATCATCTATGAATCTTTTATAAAAAGGTATCTTGTAGTTGTTAAATATGAAGACAAATTTATTCTCCCACTCTCCCATAAAGAGGTTTGCAATACTGGGCGCGAATTTCGCACCCATTGCAACTCCCCTCTTCTGGGAAAAAAAATTGGTTATTGTACCAGAAATAATTGTGACAGAAGAGACAGAAATCAAGAGATTGCTTCAGGAAAAATGGGTATCGTATGGGGAATATCATGCCTCTTGCTTAATGCCCAATTAAAGCTAATAAAGCAAAAAATAGTGTAAATGGACGATACATTAGCTGTGATTAATTTCTGGTTACTACCTATTTGTATTCATTATTCGTTGCCTGTTTGTAACACAATTATTGTTCAATATACATAGAAATTTTGTAAAACACTAGTCTGCAAAAAGACATCTAGATATTGCCCCAATCTTGCTGTTACTGACTCAATGCCATTAACTATTGGCCTAGCCAGGGGGTTCAGTTGATTTTTAAGTGTCTTAGGCAATGTGGATATAGTTGGTATCCTGCAACTGCTGGGAAGTATATATTTCCTTTCCTTTTTCAACTCTAGTTCTATATCCAAATTCAACTGATCCTTTAAGCTCTTCCTTATATTGTTTAGTAGGGTCCCTGTCCAACCTCACATAAATTTCTTGAGCTGATAACTTCCCAGTAAGCTGGGTGTGGTAAAAGGAGTTATCTGAAATCACCACCCCGCCGCCCTTGTCAGCAGGCTGGATAACTATCTCTTTTCTCTTCTCCAATATGTATACCTTCTTGTATGTGTCTATGATTAATCCCTTTTCTAGGAACTATTGTTGATAGATCTCTTAGTACTAAATTTTTTAAAACCTCAACATGCTGGTTAGAAGAAATGGCTGGATTAAATAGGGATTTATTCTTTAATCCACTATTCAAACTAGTTCCTACTGAGGACTCATTGGGTTGTGATCTAATTCCATCCCCCAGAAAATATTTTTTCATATTCAATTTGCTTATAAATTTGTGTGTATCTATATAAACATGAAATTTATTAACTGGCCATTTTATTGCACATTTAAAATATTGAGTTCCTTGTGTGTAAGATCTACGCTGCTAAGATTTTAGATTCCATTTAATCTGTCTGTCCTTATTTTTTTGACATTGGACCCTTCTCCCCACCCTACATCCTCTTCCTCCCTTCTTGGGGGTTCTTCCCTTGTATAGCCTTGTCTCACTCCAAAAGGAGGTGCTTGCCAATTTTGAATTCTGGGGGGGGGGAGGTGTCAGTAATACATTGGTGGCCCCCCATATAGGGACGACGGCCCCAACCCCTTTCTCATCCCTGCCTCCAGTTGCCTAAAAAGGTCCTTGATGAGTGATAATATTAGGGAACCCCCTATAGTTGGATAGGGGTTAATATCTATTATGTGTGGGCACCATAAATCTATCATGTATTCGGAGGGTATAGGCACCTCTCTGCCTAACCTCCTCCTGTCTATCTCTTCCCCCTTTCCAGGGCCTCCCTTGCAAACCTGTTCCGACAGATGTATCTAGTCTCGGTTTGTTCTGGGATAATGGCTAGTGTCTATTAGGTGTATTAAAAGCAACATTTGGACCATTAGCTCCACTGTTAACCTGTACTTAATTTTCCTCAGAGCTGGTAGAGGAGTTATGCATATCC